GTCATAAGCTTGTTCCCCATGCGTTGTCAAAGCCGCCATCCCATCATTGGAAAAGCTACAACATGGGCTTTCCAGGCTGCCACCACATGATCGTGGACTTGAAGCTGGCACTTGTAAGCTCGCACCTCCTGATCGCAGATCTTTATCTTTGGTCTTTAGGCTGTCACCACTTGATTGCAATACATGCCATAATCCAGCGGTATGTCGCAGGCGGACAGTACGTACCCCCAGATTTTTGCTATCAAGTAGACGATGGCGTCTTGGAAGGGATGGACATGTGGGCTGCGAACGTCGCTCTTGTAAATGGCGAGCATGCACCAGCCCAATTATCTCGCAACCTTCATCGATGCAAATGTCAGGCCACAGGGCGACAAGACATGATGCATGCGCAATTGTGTATCGACTTAACCCACGAGATTGCACTGTCGTCAACTGAAGACGATTGACGTTGCATCGTTTCAAAGACACGCCCTGTCATCGTGACACATTTACAGATATAGGTCTCCCACAAATCAATGCAATACGTCGAGCACAAACTTGGCAAGTTATGGAGCTTGGTTCATTGGCATAGACGAGATGGCGGTAATGCACCTCCATGTCATCGCTTGTGTCTACTATCTGGATAGCTGCGTTCGATATCGTAAAGGACGTCTTTTTGCAAAGCACTAGCAGAAGCGTATGTAGAAGGCACCTCATCTATTGAACGAAGTGGTGTGGTGAACCGTCGACCCGTCGTTCGACACATGCACTATCGGACTGCAAAGATGCTCGACAATGGTGTGATGAAAACACAACGCGAGCTACCACGAACGAAAAGATTGTGATCGATGCCGACCTTGTACCATACACAGCGTGGAGCACCCCGTGCTCGAGCGCCTGCACTTACGTTCCAATCTTGTAGATAAGAAGTGCACTGTCGAGGACTGCTTGCATTGTAGTGCAGAACTTTCGTCGTACAATGTACAGACAAAAGATCGGGTGTACAAACTTAACTGCGACACAGCTTTGCGACGCGAAGTGAAATCCTGCACTGTAAGTGTAAGAACTGGTATGTGACCCATACAGGGTAGGTGCAAGCCGCACCCATCAAGCGTGGTCACATCAGAGACGATAGGACGATAGCTGGGTTTGTCGAGATTGGTGCGACGTGTAATCGAGACAAAGTAAAGATGTGAACATCACGCGCGAAAAGCGACGATCCTACGAGCTGGAAAAGTGCGACACAACAACGGTGGTGCCTCATTTTCTCCAGCTCGTGGGATCAAGCTGATGTGCCACGTCGTTGGTGTATGATTCAGGTACGACTTGAGACGGCGACACGCTCATGGCTTGTGCGCTTGACGGAGGAGCGGCTCTGTACCTCGTCTTTTGATATCAGTCATTCCGTCCAGAGAACAACATCGAGCGCTGGCTACGCACGCACCTCTCATGGTGATTACAGCTCGCGGCTGGGGAATGCGTCGTGCTCATGCGTTGTGCCACAACGGTGCTGTCGCGTAGTCACGACGCAACTCGTTCGTGTTGTCGCTGTGTTGAAGAGAAAGACGAGCGAACAGAAAGACAACAGCTGATCTCGTCCGTCCGTGCAGAAGCAACGATCACAACGATGACAACAACAGAATAAAATGTGTGAGAACGAGAGAGCGATCAAGAGAGAGAGGAGAGAGAATGAGGATGAGAACGAGCTTTACCGCTGAGTGAAACAGTGATCATTTACGTCCTTCTTTCTTGTTTCTTACGACCAACGGGCGGAGGGAGCGGCATGCATATGTAAGAAAGGATACTCTACACACGCGCAAGACGTGCAGCAACAAGCTGAATGCCAAGAACTACGCCTTGTACCGTGCACACACTCGCCAATGGCTTTGCGCTTTGTGGCCACAATATAGTGACCACGACATGACCGTACACACCTGTGCGCCCACAAACACCACCACGACATCAATCGCCAATTTCATGTACGCGCACGGCCTTATGCGTAGACGTCGCGAGCAGGATCATCCTGCTCGCGAACTGCTCTTAGAAAACATGTGACATCAACGAAAGAGACAAATTCTGGTGGAGTACCGGCATCCACTGTTTCACTGTACCCACGGGCGCTTCCTTTGCGCAGATGGGCAGCGTCAGCAATGCGACGTTGAGTCTTTCGAATCGAATTACCCGTGCAACCGGATCGATCGGTTGTCGAGCTCGTAATCGAAAAGCCGATGTGAGCACTCCGAACTCGAATATATTTGCACACGTAGTGTGACACGACAAGAACGCGCGATGGACGATGCGGGCCCCATCCAGTTCTGTGCGTGCTGGCTACAGCTGTGCACATCGTGCGGAGATACTGGAGATTGGGGAACCAGAGCCAGACGCTCGCGGCAGCAAGCCCGTGAGCACACGATGACCCATTCGTCCAGTCATACAGCACCCGCAGCTTTGAGACTGCAACGTCTTCCTCACTTTCGAATTTGACTCGCCAGCACCCCCCCTCCTCGGCAGCACCCCTGTGCCCGCCAACGCCTCCTCCTCGCCAAAGCTCCTGTGTCACCGACTGCCACTCCTCCCGCCACAATGGTCAAGATCTTCCGTCTCCTCACGCTCGCGCTCGTCGCATCTGCCAGCGGCAGCGTCCTGTCGGCTCCAGTCGCGGAAGAGTCGACCACTACTGACATGACGTCGGACATGAACCCGGACGCACCCACTCCATCGGTCCCCGGAAACGTTCGGGTCGCTGACGGGTTTGCCCTTCTTGCACAACCCGAGGGCGAAGACAGAATGTTTTCTCTTCGAACGAATTTGGCGGACGACTCTTTGCCCCTGATGCAGCCACTACTGGCGAGGACGTTATCGAGTGCAAAGCAGAACGCTGCCGATGATCTAGCGAGGTGGGCCGTCGAACTACAAAACAAGAACAAAGTCTCATTCAACGGTGTATTCGACACTGAGTATTTAGCAGCTAAAGAGGCGGTGCAGGAAGAGTTCGGCGTACAATCTGGTGCATCGCCTTGCTGAGCGTCAAGTCGACCCGAAAGGTTATGAAAGGTATGCTTTATCCACAACCCAACCTGGCGACGTTGATGACGTTCTAAGATCTCACAGAAGCATCCGAAAGAGTACGAACGGTACTTATCTATAGATTTGGAATAGATTTTGACGCGCTTGAATCGGGCGGCGAAGTATCACCGACTTTAACCTGTTCCATCAAACGTTGCCGACGGGGAGGTGGCCGAGTAAGCGGTGGTACGTCCACCAGCTTCCGGGCCTACTGAGCAACGACTTGTTCGATAAGGTGTGAGATTCATTGTCTGTGTCGCTGTTGACCTCTTGCTCGAGCTACTGACAACTAATGGTGGCTGATGTTTTGATGGTTTGTGCTTTCAGCGTCCGCCACGAAAGGTTGCACGGATCCTGACACCATTGCTGACGCGGGCGAGACACCATCCCTGCTCCACCCGACAATGCGCGTGTGCAGTTGATTGAGAGCGCCTGTGACGCTCAGTTTTTGAAAGTACCCGCGAGCTACACTATCGTGACAACCTTCCACAATATACGTTGTTTGACTTTCTTGCACAGCCCCAGCACTTATCTGCATGCATTGAATGTGCAACAAAGCCGTGCAAGCGGCTTAACTGACTCCCGCATCCACTCGTACATGCGGCAGATGGATGAGGTTCTGCCAACAGGCCTGCGCGCGTGGGCATGTCCAGCACTTGTGCTCCATTTGCCTCCTTCACCCGTTGGCAGCAATGATTTTTGCGACGACCGCAGTCGCGTCCTCTTTCGTCGAAAGATTGATCCATCCTCCTCTTTCACGAAAGATTGATCCAGTCACTGCACTGGTATACCATCGATGAATCATGACCCGGTCCTCATTGAGGTCGTTGTCGTGTGCCCACATTGTTTCTGGCAGCTGTTGGACGCGATAGCTCATCAAGCGCTGCCTCGCGCCAGTGCATCGTGCCCTTGTTAGAGAGCCTAAGGCAGCGCACGGTCTAAAGCGTTCAACAAACAATGGTCGTCACTAGAACGCCAACAAGACGTTGAGTTCGCGACGGTGCCGGGTACACTCCATGTAATCCGCGAAGCAGCGAATTCGCGTCAAAGTCAACACCGCTTAATTCGTGGCGTTGTCGAAGCGTCTGGGAGTCGGTCGCTATCCACTGATCGTCAGTGTTGGTCACTCGAGGTAATCACTGCTTCCATTACTCTCCTGCTCCCGAACGATGACACGTTGCTGCGTGGTACCCGCCCCCGCTTCAATGCCGCTGATGCGATCCGTTGTAAGCGGTTGTCATGTGTAGGCATTCATCAGTTCACTCTCGCGGTAAGTGCCGCTGACGCAGATCCCCGTTAAGCTTAAGGCCAGCTGCCAATGTCGAGTTCTATAGCACTCTCTCATACCGACATCCCTTAGCAACGCAGCTCGGCGTGCCAATGCACATGTGGGCCCGTACCATTAGAATGACAGGGAGTGCGTACGGCTTGTCGAGAGAGGATGCAGGCGCAGTTCTGCAATCGATCACGACGTTCACCTTATCAACGTCCAGTGCGATTAGAGTGTCCCGTAGGGCTCCACAGCGCAAGAATTGGCCGCCCGAAAGAGCACGCGGGATACGAAGCTCCTTCTTCTGGCGGCAGCGGCGCATGGGAGAACGAGGTAGTGGTCGTACAAACTCCACACCCTCTGTCTCGGTGCTGTCCACAGCCACGCTCGCGAGCTCTGTGATGCACTAGTGCTAGTTACTGCTGGGCGGCGCCGTCTGCACGCCGGGCACCATTTCGGTCTTACCACCACCAACCGCAGACGCTGTCCGAAGGTCCTTCAAACCAGTGCGGAGTCCCACCGACCGAATCGAACACGAGGATGCCACCCTCGAGATACTGACCGACCCCTCTCCGCTCGTCGCCAGTGGTTTGGTTACCTTCCGTCGACATTTCGACCCCACTTCAGGGCGACAACGTACCCCCTCGACACGGGTACAGACGCACCCACTTGTCTTCCGGCCGAGATGTTCCAACCACTGCGCGGCCACTCGCGTTTCTCGAGCGCGACCGACACCATCTGCATCGGCAGCGGCCGCTTCCTCGTGCGTATTGCGTCGTGGACCACTTCAATTGCATCGCGCAGTGCGAAATAGGCCGTCGTCGCAAGCTGACGGTGTGTTTTGTATGGCGGTTTCGATGAATGGGGCAATGCAGCGGTCGGTGCTCGTGCCAACGATTCGAGCAGCTGGTGGCGCTGTTGTGGTGGCCCAGACACGCGGACACAGCTTTGTCCGCGCGTGTGAGGAGGCGCAAGGAACGTACGAAGTGGACGTCGTTCGAGTCGATGGCAGTGTCGAGACGGAGGAGATTGAGGTCGAAGCTGTGGGTTCGCTGGGAGAAGCGGACGGCCGCGCGGCGTTGATGCAGCTGCCAGCTCAGCTACCGAAGCTCAAGTACATTGGCTTTGGCGTGACCGAGAGCGGCCTTGTCGAGGGAGGGGCTGCCATTGTCGACCTGACCGAGCTGCTGTATCGCTGTTTCGAGAGGCGACCGAGTCAGGCAGTTGAACTTGTTTTACGAAGCAGGAACGACAAGCAGGTCCAGCTCACGGTCGTGTATGAATGTGTGTGTGTGTGTGTGTTTGCGTGTGGTGCTCGTGTTTTGTGGAATGGCTGTGTAGACAACGTCATCTCGGTGATCAATACGGACAATTTGCCCAAGAATGGAGATCTGATCAAGAAGTTGGTGCTCGAGACGACGTGGGAAGGCCAACCGAGCGACGTCACTTCGTTTCGCGCGTACGTATCGTCCAAGGTGCATTTTCACAATACGATGGTCGACCGCTTGACGTCTCACCGGCCTGGAAACGCACTGGTGCCTCTGTCGGAGCCATGGCCGACCAAGACACTAGTGATCGAAGATATTAAGCATGTGCTGGATGCCAAGGCACTGAGTGCATTGCCGGGCGTGCACATCCATACGACCGCAGGTCTGTTGGAGCAAGACCACTTGATTAAGCTCAGCATTGCAAATGCTGTGCATACGGCGATGGTGTATCTTCTGGCTTTGACACGTGTGAAGAACACGAGCGGCGTGTTGGAATACCCGCAGGTTCGTCAGTTCATGGATCTCTTGTACGCCAAGGACATTGCCCCATCCCTTATGCTGCGCGGCATCAGCAACGAAAAGGCTCAGCATGCATATGACGAGTGGATGAGTCGCGTGGAGCACAGACACTTTGGCTTGGATACTTTCTGGGTTGGTCAGAACGCCATGCTGAAGTATGGCGTACGACTATTTAGCTCTGTAGAGGCCAACATAGCGAAGGATCCGACGTACCGCCCAAGCGTATTCATGGCATATGCCACTGCCGTAATTCTACGCTACTTGACTCCAACGCAGGCGGACTCGAGAAAGGAGAGTGGCACCGGCCCAGACATTTTTGTAGGTAATATGGACTCGATTCGAAGTTGCAGGCCCATTTACTCCACAAGTGAAAAGACATGGGTGTACGCGAACGGGTTGAGCGCTAACGTCTCCACGGGCAAGTACGAGTTTATGGATGGTGAGAAGGGCACGACGCCGAAGACTCTGTGGCGAGCTAGTCAGCATGTTGTCGAAGCCAGCAAGGGCTGCAGCCATGACTTTTACAAGTCTGGACGCGCAGAGTCTTCTTCGGAGGTTTCTAGCGGTGTTGGTGTGGCCGTTGCCAGCGTCCTCAGCTCAGTCAAAGGCTTCGATATCACGAACGACGCATGCGCTTCGTTTGCCGCTGATGTTGCTGCTTTGTACCAGCGTCTCGTATGCGGGAAGCAAACTGCTCTCGAAACCCTCGACGACGTGCTTCGCAACCACCACACTAGTGAATACCTCAGTACCAAGGACGAGGTAGGGGCATTTGTGCGCGAGGCCGTTTCCAGCGTCCAGATCATTGACATGCACACGCACCTGTTTCCTCCTAGCCACGGCAAGCTCATGCTGTGGGGCATCAATGAGCTGTTGACCTACCACTACCTCGTGGCTGAGTTCCTACAAACGGCACCTATGCAAGTGGAAGAATTTAATTCGTGCACAAAGGAGCAGCAAGCTGGTCTCGTCTGGCAGCACCTGTTCGTGGACCGCTCTCCTGTGTCGGAGGCTTGCCGTGGAGTACTGACGACGCTGCACTTGTTGGGTCTGGACCACCTTGTGGCGAGACGCGACCTGTCTGCTATCCAGAAATGGTTCAAGCATCAGGATGCCGAGGAGTACGTAGACACGGTGTTCCGCCTAGCTGGTCTCAAGTACGCGGTGATGACAAACATCCCGTTTGAACCGGAGGAGGCCCGACACTGGCTGGTTAATCCAGCCACAAGCACGCCGCCGCCTGCATGGTCGCGCAAATACTTCCGTTCGGCTCTGCGGGTAGACCAGGCCCTGCTCGGCGATTGGGCGTCCATCAGCCCGACGCTAGACGTGTTCAAGCTACCACATACGCTCGCGGGTGTGCGTTTGCTTCTGGAGAAGTGGATCGACATAATGAAGCCCGAGTACTTCATGGCTAGCGTGCCCATTTCCTTCAAGTACCCGGAGGAGAATGCGTCTGCTTCTGCTGGTACAAATGAGCTACCAAATGGTGCGGAATTGCTGCTGCAAGTGCTACTGCCGCTGGCTGAAGAGAAGAAGCTGCCGATTGCGCTAAAGTTTGACAGCGTGCGTCCGATTAATGCTCGCTATGGTGTGGCCGGCGACGGAGTGAAGCCGAGCAACGTGGACATTTTGATCAAGTTGTGCCGTAACTTCCCCAAGGTAAAGTTTCTGGCCACGTTCCTCTCGCGCGTGAACCAGCACGAAGTGACCGTGGCGGCCAACAAGTTCCGGAACCTGCATCTGTATGGCTGCTGGTGGTACTGCAACAACCCGTCGATCATTGAAGAGCTCACGCGGATGCGTATCGAGATCCTGGGCACGGCGTTCACGAGCCAGCACTCGGACGCGCGTGTACTGGACCAGCTCATTTACAAGTGGAGCCACTCGCGCGATGTGATCGGCAAAGTGCTCGTGGACATGTACGAGAAGCTCTTCGCAACGGGCTGGAAGATGTCCAAGAGCGACATCCAGCGCGACTTGCAGAGGTTGTTTGGCCAGAGCTACGAGGAGTTCATGGCAAAGAGCATGTGAGGAGCAGCAGCGATGTGATCGTGAGCAACCACAGAAGGACGATACGCAGTACAATCGTCAAAAGCATCAACTTCTTCCGTCTGTCTATTGCAGCAAATTCGCTCACTCACTCACTCATTCACTCTATCCATGGAGACTGTCCAGTCTCGTCCAGTGCGTTCACAAGTCTTGCTCGTAGCTCCATCACCTGCATCAGTAGCTGCTGCTTTGTGACTTTCTCGTTGAACTTCATCTCCGCTCGCTCAAGTTGCAACCGCTCACATCGCAACGTCTGCTGCTGCTTCCACTTAGCCACTGCAAAGTCCAGTTGACGCGTCTCCATTGCCAATAGCTTCAGCTCATCCGCATTAGCCGCATCTGGTCCTTCAGCTACTTCTTCTTAGCATTTCTCAGCTCCATGCTGATAGACTCAAGCCTGTCTCCCTTCCTACGACACGAAATCGAGCCTTTCCTGGACGACTTTCTTTTCCCACTCACGCACTTCTTCCCCTTGACCACAACGTCGTCCGAAACGCCGCTGTTACTCACAATGAAGACACCAACGTTCAGCTTTCAATGTAGACCTCTGCTCGCGCACATGGTTTTCAAGTGCAAAGGTGCCACTGCATTCATCAAGCGGGCACTACGTTCCATCCATCACCGAACGCAAAAATGAACCGTCATCTGCCGCAACAATTGTGCATTGCCATAGTGCGTAGCTGACCGGCTAAGCAGCCAAGAGGTCGCTGCTTCTAGAGACTGCGGAAGAAGCTAAAGTGGGCATCACCGATGCAATACCGCGTGCCGTCTTCACCTCACCAGGCCGAGCAACTGTCCTCTGACCGACCGCATTCATTGTAACCCGTGGCTTCGAGAAAGGCACGTTCGAGGTGCGAGATTGAAGCTTGGACTGGCTTGAGCTTGGCTGCAAAAAGATGGGAATATCTTGACGCGTATGGTGGAGGGAGTGAACATACTTCCTGGTAAACTCAACTCGTTCATCGTTTCATGTTAGGAGTGCGCGCCAGTAGACTCCCACCGTTCTGTAGCCCCCCTTCTCTCCATAGGTCTCGCTTACCGTGAGAGGACACGCTCCAACATTGTCGTTGGTTAAAGCCATGCTAATCGCTCGGCAGTATCCTCAACGCTCGCACCTGCGAGTATCATGCGATAAATCACGTCGGCTCGAATGCTCATCTGCTGGTATTCGATCTCTTTCTGGGCACAGACCTCACGAATCTCCATCTCGCTTCGAAGCACCTTCATTTCCTGCTCTTGCAACTCTTTCTCATAAGTCCACTTGTACTGCTCAAAAGCAAGTTTCTTAGCGCTCAAGTACGAGCGTTGTCGCTCCAAGTCGGTATCGCCGCTGACACAATGTGGCAGGTCGAGCAGCAGAGGAATGTGGTCATCAGTCAACATTGCCGCCCTTTGATGATCAGCAAGTGTCGGGTTTAACTTCATCGGTACTTCGTGCTCATTGGACTTGACGGGACCCTGTGCAGTCGTCGCATCGGTAGCTAAAGCAGCCTGGGCGCCGTGACGTCGACACACATGGTGAGTGGGCGAACCATTGTGTCGGCTGCCACTACTAGTTGAGCATGTGTTGACTTTTGCAGCCTCGTCTGCTTCCTCGTCTTTTCCTGGAGCTACTGCACAACTGCAGCTACCGGGTGGGCACCGATCGATTCGAAAGTCGAGCAGATCCAGGCACTGCGACACAATTTTTGCGATCGCTGATTGAAAAGTAGCCGGGACTTGCAGCCGTGATGGTACAGGCTGCTCATTTGCATTATGCAGTGACGGTTCTGATGGCCTTTGACTTTGTGCATCGCATGCAGAAGCAGTTGATACTTGTGTAGTGCTTTGACAAGAAGCCAAGGTTGGTGCAACGCTTTGAGTTCCATCACGACCTTGTGCCACCTTTGTCGGTAAAGTCCGACGTGGAGTCACGTTCTGTGGCATTGCGGGACACGGTACCACCGCGTTTGTGCCTCGTAGCGGAGCAGGACTTGACGTCAACGGTATGGTCTCAGTCGATTCTTGCGCACCACGTGTGGCGCTTGCAATGGCTTTCAACGCACTCGTTGCCCCAGTGAGCTCCCGTTTGTCGCGAATCACCACTGCACGACGTGGAGCAACCCCGCTACCGTTATGTGTCGTACCGACTGGACTCGCGTCTGAGACCAAGCTCCGTCCAGCGTTTGACGAGCTTCGCGTCGCTTTTGCGTGCGCCGTCACGTCGTCTGATCGACGCGCTGGTCGACCCACTTGCACTGCTGGGCCCTGCGCGCGTTTCAGCTTTTTCGCTTGCCCATGCAGGCACTCGTCGCTGCCACTGCGTGCCACGTCTTCAGAGCCCCCGACCGGGCGCACCCGTTTTCGCCGCTTGCCTTCCCCGCCTGTCACGAGCAACACGGGCGGTCCCTTGTCGTCCTCGTCTTCAGACATGATCTCAATCAACTCGGGCAGCTGCACCTCTCGCTCTTTGCCACGAGCAGCACCCCCAGCCTCGTCGTCCTCCTCGTTTTCGTCCTCGTCGTCCTCGTCGTCCTCCTCCTCCATTTTCTCCCGCGTGCGCGCTGCTCCCGTCTTCCCGCCCCGCTGCTTCCCTTCCTGCACGGGCCTCGCGCCTCGTCGACGCTCTTCCTTTGCCGTCCACTGCTCCGACAGTGCCCCCCCTCCCCCTCCCGCTCCCGCTCCCGTCTTAGCCCCCGCTCCCGTCTTAGTCCCTCCCTCCTCTGCACCGCTTCTCGCCTCCAACTGGCGCCGCCGCACGGGTCCGTCCAGTCGCTGCAGCCGCACAAAGTGCCGGCACATGTGCTGCAGCTTCTCCTCAATCGTGCGGATGCCAAACACTTCGTCCGTGCGGCTCAGCGCAAAGCCGGGCCGCGCCGCCTCGGCCGCCGTCGCGCGGAACTCGTGGAAACAGTGCCGCAGCATCTGCGTCGCGAGCTGCCGGTCCCACGCCGCGCGGGGCGACGCGCTGTTGACGTACGCGGCCAACTCGTCGAGCGCAGCGGCGGCGTCGCTGTCGCTGCTGCAGCTGCTGCTGCTGCTGCTGCCGGACGCGCGCACGAGGCGCGTGACGCGCGCAAAGTTGTTGCGGCGCTCGAGCCACGTGACGATCGCGTCGCGCTGCGCTTCGGACGTCGGGAGCAGAGCCATTGCTGCCGACAGAGTTGCACGACCGGGAGACGGACGCACGCGGCAGCGGTCGTACAGAAAACACCACACACTGCGTGAACACACAGAGAGAGAGGGATTGGTCGATTCGAGCGTGAAGGGCGAAGCGATAGGGCGATACGGTCGTGCCTATTCGCCGCTCTCGAGTGAGCGCTCTTGATTTAGCGTGCGCTATTGGCGGTCGCGGCCTTTATGGACTTTCGTCAGCGACCGCTCGCGACCAGCGATCAACGCTTCGAATCCTCTTCAGTGCAAACGCTCACTGTCTATGGAGGAGGAGGAAAGCGCTCCATCACTTGCACTCACGTGGAAAGGTGCTGGATAAAGTGGTGCTCATTGTGTGTGTGTGTATGGGGAAGGGGAACTATCGTGGCCACACTGCACTGGTCGACTTGGAAAGGTTGGTGGACGGATACTGACATGGTCGGTATCGCTTGCCTGCGAGACAATACGAGTGGATGATGTTGCAACGTGTTCGGTATCGATGCAGAGACTGCGTAGCATTCGACAGCAGGGCGATGAATGATCGACCTGCATCCGCAAAGGCGACAGGAAGAAAGTGGAGTGAGAATGGACACTCGTCGTTTGTTTGTTTGGTTGTTTGTTTGTTTGTGGGAGACGGCTGTGGCAAGAGGCGTAGTGTCATTAGCAGCTTGTGCAACAGGGCGGCGCCTATGGACATGGCCGTGCGTGGCGGCGGGGCTCAGTCCGTCAGGCGGCATTGTCGTCGCATGGCCGAAACCGTTGTGGATTGTCGTTGTCAGCGGAAAAGATCCGATGACGTCGGCCATGTCAGTCGTCGCACGCACCCCGTGCATCGCTCCATCGACAGCCACCGAGTGAGTGACGTGTCTGAGTGCATCATTGAACTGCTGCGGCCCACTGGACATCGATGAGGCGCTACATACACGAATGGGAGCGAGAGTAGTGACGTACGCACGCGAGGCTTTGTTCCCTGCCATCGTTGTCTGTAATGGACAACTCTTGGTAGTAATGCCACGCCAGCTACTGATCTTCTTTGTCGTCCGGCTCTCCTTCTTCCAACTACATGTCTGGTTGTTCGCCACCGCTAAATACATGCAGTCTCTGGTGCTGTGGACGACATCTTGCTACCTGTTCGTGGCATCACGACGTTCTCGCATGGACCACAATAGGGAGCTGTATACCTCACGTCCCCTCGTTCTTGCTGCATAAAGTCGAGCGTTGGACTACTTCAGTGATGCCACGAATTATACGTCGTCCGATGGTCCTATCGCCACATATGTCGCAAGAGTCTTTGGAGTCACAGCCGGCGTCCTGCTACGATAGCACCTACTGGACACGAAAACGCAGCATGAACATTGAAGCAAAGTCCATTGTCGCTGACGCAGCTTTGCACGCGTCGATGACCCCCAAAGTTTGCTACGAAATCGTTTGACTGCCATTTATAAAAAAGACACGTGTATCCTAAAAATACGCCTCTTGGCTCGGCCCAGCGCTCTCTCCCCATACACAAACCGGCGTCAGCTAAGCTACGTGCATATACATTTGGATGGATTTACATCTCTTCACATAAACAACGCGCGTTCCACTCGCTCTCCAATTGCAGCGGGAGTACTTCCTCTGATAGTCCTCGCTTTAGAAACTCTTCATGTCCGCTAGCTCGCGCTCAAGCATCTCCTTGTCACTGTCCATCGTCAGCTCGTCTAGCTCAATGTCGTCCACATTCATGTCTGACGGACGGATCTTCGGGCTCCCGTGCGTCAGACTGTGTTTGCGCATCTGCTGCAGCGCCGGTAACAGGTTCGAGCACTTGCGCGTCATGCGCTTCCGCAGCTCGCTGTCATCGGTACAGCTAATGGTTGACGGACGAGTCTCATCCATCCACGGGTGAGCCAAAACGCCCAGCGCGTCGAGCCGCTTCGTGCGATCCACTGACAGTAGCTCCGACACCAGATCTTTCGCCTCGTCCGACACCTTGTCCCAATATGGCGACTCAAACTCGTAATCAGCCTTCACGACCTTGTCAAGCACCGTGGCGTGGTTCGCGCCAGGGAATGGCGGGTACCCGCACAGCAGGATGAACAAGATGACGCCAAGGCTCCAACAGTCCACTTGGGCTCCGTACGGCTCGCCTTGCACCACCTCGGGGGCCACATACCCCGGGGTGCCACAAGCAGTACCTCGGCGCGAGCCGTTCATAGATTTGGCAAAGCCAAAGTCAGCAATCATCACTTCGGCACCAGGCGCTGACGTCTTCAGCAAAATGTTTTCAGGCTTGAGATCACGATGCACAATACCACGCGAGTGCAGATAATCGATGGCACTGGCGAGCTTACGCATCAGCACGCGCGCATCCTCTTCGGTGTAACTCTTCCGCTTTACCAGGTCGTCAAAGAGCTCGCCACCCGTACAAAGTGGGGTCACAATGTAGTAGTATCTGTCTTCTTCAAAATAGTCCAGCAGAGGTACAATGTTCGGGTGGTCCAGACTCGACATGACCTCCACCTCCTGGTTCAACGAGTGCACATCCAAATACCCCATCTTTGCTTTTGCAATGCACTTGACAGCAACTTGCTTCCGCGTCTCGCGATGTGTCGCAATATGTACCACCGAGAACGCGCCAGAGCCAAGCTTTCGTCCAAGCTTGTAGAACCGGTGAAACGATGCCATTTCCGCAGCACTCAGCGAGCGGCTACTTTCGCTCAAGTCAGCGCTACCGCCTGAAATCTGACGCGCAACGTTGGGGGCTCGCAGTGTCGGTGCTTGGCTGCTTGGCTCTGGACCACTCGGAGCCGTCTGCAGCGCCTTCATGATGTTTGCGTAAGCCGTCTTCACGTGGGTCGTCCAACTCACTTCCGACTGCTCCAGCTTTACTTTTCCCACCGTAGCAATCAACTTCTTTATGTGTCCGTTATTCGCTCCATCCTGCACTTCGCCCAGGACTTGGTCCAGTATGTAAATCATCTCGTCCTCCTTCTTGCAGTCGTGCAAATCTCGGATCAAATTCGCGAGGACAGGAAACTCTCGCTCGACTGTGCGTCCAGCCTGCGAAGCTGGAGACAGGGCTGTTGTCACGCTGCTTGCCGATGCAATATCTCCAACAAGCCCGATTGACCTCGGTGGCGATGCACTTGCTACAACAACCTTTCGCCCGTAGCGATAGTTGCTGTACTCGTTGTTCACAATGTAGTTGAGGATTCCGCGTCCGAGCTTAGTCGGGCTCTCGCCTTCGATCCAGCGCTGCAGGGCACGAATCCACCGTTGGCGCTCTGCTTCTTTACTGGCCTGCAAATAGTAAAGCACCACAGGTCCGTCTTCTGTCCAAAGTTCCGAGCGCCAATGACTCGTTTTGCGCTGATGAAAGCAAATGCCGCTCGTGCTGCGAAACGGCATCGAGCTCCGTGTCACGCTGTCGTCCGCCTTGTAGCTGCTGCCGCTGCTCATGTTGCCCAAAAGCCCCGACCGCCGCGACCGTTTCCGCACGGCCAGCACAAAGCAATACGGATGGTGCTTGAACGCATCGGTCCCTTCGACTCGAATCGCGTCGGTTCGCACGACTTCCATCTTGAGCAGCTTCTTCTCCAGCTGTGCCACGTCCTTCTCCTGGTAGCGCGGGCCACCACTGGTGTAGGGGTTCTTCCTGTACACTTGCAGCGCTCCTCGCGATAGCACCAAATGCCGCGGCAGCCACGTCTTGAAAAAGTGGCCGCGTTTGGTCAACGCGCCGCTCAAAATCACTTCGTGGCCGCCCGCACGAGCGCCAGCAGCAGTAGCAGCCGCCGCAGATACCGCGCCGGCGCTCGCCGTGCCCGAGCTGCTCAGCGCCGTGCAGAGGCTATCCAGCGGACCGAGATACCGACGATGCAGCGGTGGCGGTGACGCTGCTGACACTGACACTGACGCAGCTGCTGTGGGGATCGACGGGTACGGCGGTCGTCGACGCTCGTCCAGGCTGCGCAGACGGTCCGCGGAGCTACTCGCGAGCTGCTGCTGCTTGCGGTACTGGCTGCCGGGCATGGGCACAGAGGCGCGCGAGTGGTGCAAAAGGAGTCCCGAGCGCGGCGCGTGTGCGTCTCGCTCCATCGCTGGCGTCTCCATCGTCACACGGCGCGCAGAGTCAAATGGCCGCGTCCTCTTCTTCTTCTCTGTCTTTTTCGTAGTGATAGCAACTGATGGCGCGCTCGACGGCTGAATGTTCCGAGTGCCGAGCAATTCGAAAGTGCTTTTTATCGCCAGTGCAGTGTGCCAAGCGCGGGAAAAAAGCGAGAGGAATATCAACCATGAGGGATATCGATAATGGGAGAGGCCCGCGGGCCCAGCTGCTGACGAGATTACGATATATATATATATATAGTGCGTGGGTAGAGGCGGCGCGGCGCGCGTGCAAGTTCTGGCCGACTCAATCGCGCAGTGTCGGACAGGCGCAGACTGCGCGGTGATTGGTCGGCCGCGACGGTCTCGACTATAGCCGGCGCTAGAGTCAGCCGGTCGGCTGGTCCGCGCACGATGTGACGCACTTCCTCACGCAGGTGGCCCTTTCGTGGTCGTTGTGATAGAGGCGCCGTGTGCTTTTGGGTGCGCGAGATGCTGTACTTTTGCCATACGATTGCGGTCTATCGAGCTTTGTCTGCTGTTTCAGTGACGCTGAGCAAAGCGTGTCGTCGGGAGCGTGTTGCTCCACGTTATTGGGTGTGGAGTGGGTCGTGCGTGCAGCGCACAACGGCATTTGTATCTGCGCAAAGGGACATGTGTCGTGGCTGTTGGCGCCTATTTGAACGCTCAAGTTGATTGAAAAGACCGTGTGCTGTAGACTTAAGTTCAATGCTGGAAAGAATATACTGTCGTCGACCAGACGGCCGATGCGGTCTCCGTCCACGACGACGTCGTAATCGAGGACTCGCTCTTTTCTGGCTTGAACCATCACGATAGTGCTCCCGCGACGGTGAGTGCCCACGAAGGAGGCTGCGGCGTGGATGGGTGGAGAAGCAAGGAGGCAGACTCGCTGTCATGGTGCTGTTTAGCCTAGTTGGATGGTCAAGGCGTGGTAAACTGGGCGCATGTGCAAGGGCTGATGACTTCTTTTGCCTTCGAGCTTGTTGCTGCGCGACTCGAAGTCGGTCTTACAGCGGACGGTACACAACTGCTGCTCGGGATGAATCTAATCTCGAAGGAGCAAACAAGTCAGAGGATGTGTCCACACACACACAGGTTGCGCAGTGGTTCGATAAAGCAGCAAACCACCGCTGGCAACATGCGCACCCGCAAGTACGACCACGTGCAGCTTACGCGTCATTAACTCAATCGAGGAGAGAGGTACAAAGAGCGTAGCTTGAAAGTCGACCAGTGGTCATGTAGCTGATGCCGTCGAGGCGACGCAGGTACCATACTGGATGTCTATACGGTCTCTCTCTCTGCTAAAGAACATTGACAGGAAGAAAGTCTTTCTGCTCTGGTGCAAAAGCTGCACGATGAGCTGCACAGACGAAAAGCTAAGCGACTTCTCACCTCTCTCGCACCCCATTACGACACGATCGGTGGGCGACGAAGGTCGAACACACGTGCACTGTGTTGTGGACCTTCAGCAACAGCATTCGTGACAGCTGCACCAGGAGAGAGCGAGACATTGCTGCACTTGCCCTGGCGGCAGTTGGGCATTGCCCGTCACCTCTTCGATGGCATCGGCGGGCGCTCGATAGCCCTGTCGACTGCTACGTCGCGTGGAAGGGACGACTGAATATCAAGTTTGCACTCACACAGGTCAGTAGTGTCTTACGTCCGCTGTCTCGCAACTTGACACTGCATCGAAAGGCAGCGCCAAGTGCAGCTGTCGTCGACAGCGACTGCGAACAAGCTTTGCGGTCAAAGAGAGAGAGGATGCACTGTGACTTATGCAACCAGCAGCCGCAAAAATCCAGGAACCTCTCGGCTACGGCCGTTATACACACACTTTGCCAATGTCCAGTACGAGCGTTGAAGTCGCAGGGTCGAAATGCACCGCGACGGCGTGAAGAAAAAGGCGTATACTTCCCACGCCCGAACAACGAACGTATACACGCTCTCGCTGTCTTCACTTTTGGCCAATTGGGTCCGATTTGTCGCAATTACCGGTCGCGCAAGTCAAAAAGACACGCTCATTGGTCTAAACACAAAAGACAGAAGGAGATACCCAATCCAGCACACAAATCCGCTGCCGATGGCTACAGTGGAATCCCAATTGGCTCGCTCATGCAAGAGAGTGGGGAGCTCCACCCGGCACAGGTGCTCAAGAGCGGCCATGACGTCGGCGCAAGCCACTACGCCGGTGGTGTACCGCCCCACAAGCGCATGCGCAAGCCCATCGTGCGCAAGAGCGTGGACCCCAACGCCACGTTTGTGAACTACGTGACGCAGCGCCGCTTTGTACTGGCGCGCAGCGTGCGCTCGCACGCGTTCCCACCGCACTCGTTCTACAAGAAGCAGATGATGCCGCCCTTGGCGTTTCCTGGAGACGACGACTTGGCATCCTGTGTGTGCACCAAGTTCTGTCGCTGCTCGACGAACAAGCAGCGCTGCCCGGTCAATTGCCTCACGTGGACGCCCGAAGGCCGCCGTCTCATTACCGGCAACTCGGTAGGCGAGTTTACACTCTGGAACGGCTTGGCGTTCAATTTCGAGACCATCTTGCAAGCGCACGACGATGCCGTGCGTGCAATGGTGTGGTCACACAACGACAATTGGCTCGTTACGGCGGATCACGGCGGGGTGATCAAGTACTGGCAGTCGAGTATGACGAACGTCCAGTTGCTGCAAGGTCATCGAGAGGCAGTGCGGTCGCTTAGCTTCTCACCGACGGATTTTAAGTTCGTCTCGTGCTCGGATGACGCGACAGTCAAGATCTGGGACTTTGAGAGCGGTCGCGAAGAACGCGTGTTGACAGGACACGGATGGGATGTCAAGTGCGTTGCTTACCACCCACAAAAGTGTTTGCTGGCGAGTGGAAGTAAGGACAATCTGGTGAAGATCTGGGATCCAAAGTCAGGCAACAGTCTTAACACGTTGCACGGACACAAGAATACAGTGTTCAAGGTCGCATGGAACTCGAACGGGAATTGGCTTCTTACGGCCAGTCGTGACCAGCTCATCAAGATTTACGATATTCGGACGCTCAAGGAGTTTGCGACGCTGAAAGGCCATGCACGCGAAGTCACGTCCATTGCATGGCATCCGTGGTACGAACGCCTTTTTGTCAGTGGCTCGTACGACGGATCGCTCATGTACTGGGAAGTCGGGTACGCATGACATCTGCTCTACTCGCCCGCCGAAGTCTGCTAACGCAGACACGCAACTGTCATACCTTGTGCTATCCACAGAAAAGAAAATGCGCTGGCCTCCATTCCGCAGGCCCACGACACGGCCGTTTGGGATATCCAGTGGCATCCTGTTGGCCACGTCGTTGCAACTGGAAGGTACGCTGTTACGCTACTCTTGTCGTTGCGTATTGCTTGATCGGTATGATGATGTTCGGTCAACGTGATGCCTTCCCATGTTTGCAGCAACGACCACAGCACAAAGTTCTGGTGCCGCAATCGACCGGGTGATCCAATGGACGACAAGTACAATGGCGGTCAAAACGTGTTGAACGAGCATGATACTGGCGAAGGAATGATGCACATGCGCGGAGGCGCAGACGGTGCGGAAGTGCTGCCGGGTATGGCGGATGGCGCTAGCATCCTTCGCTCCAGTGCGATCAATGCCGCCAATTTCCAGACATTCAACAAAAGCGCGACTGACAGCCGGACGAATGGTGGTCGTCGCCCTCCGCCCGAGTCGTACACGTGCAACCGGTGCGGGACGAAAGGCCATTGGATCGAGGACTGCCCTACGAAGGACCAGCAAAGCCTGAACGGCCAGATGCAGCGCAAGCTTCCGCCGGAAGGGTACTTGTGCAAGCGTTGCAGCGTTCCAGGCCACTACATCTCCGACTGCACGGAGCCAAAGGTGCCGCCGCCGTCGTATACCTGCCACAAATGCCGTCAGAAAGGCCACTGGAAGCAGGACTGTCCAATGGACGGAAGTGGCGCGATCAGCGCACTGCTCAGCCAAATCCGTCCGCAAGGGGTACCAAACAGTGGCAGCGTTGCAATGAGTTCGAGCGGAGCAGGTCTTGCTCCGCCCCCGCCGCCACCTGCTCGAGGCTTTCCTCCTCGAGGTATGATGGTCCCTCCCCCGCCGACTGCAGGATTGATGGTGCCTCCACCCCCACCGCCGCATATTCTTGCTGGGATGAAGCGCGCTCGAGAAGATGACGGGAACATGAACCCTGGTCCGTCCGCTCTGGCCACCACCGCGTGGCCAATAGCTCCAGGAAGCGGGAGCGCGGGCCATGTAGGCCTCGCTTCAGGACCTCCTGCCGCCTCGGCAGCGTCGCCGGGACTGCTGCCGGGGCAGTCGGACCACAAGAAGCAGAGTCGAGACCCGAGACGGCGGTAAAGCGGCTGCGCTTCACGGGGCGTCCGTCTAGAGTCGCTGGCCCCGTTGTTGTTACGTGCACCACACTACATCAACACAACGCGCACACAAGTTTGCACGCGTTCCGGTAAACTTACCCAAGTCACGTTGCCGGCGTCGATCTAGTGCTGCATATCTGGATATTCCTCCCTGTCGAATTCGGTACATGCGGTTTTCCTCGATTTGCAAGGGCCATCGCTCCTCCCGAGCGGCTACGACTGCTCACTCCATTCCATTCGCTCCTTTACGCGCACAATCGAAAAGCGCCGCCAATGCTGACGCTCGCCCGCCGCTCTCCAGCGCTCGCCCGGCCGTCGGCGCTTCGCTGTGTCTCGACCGCACCGACGGTGACATCTTCGTCCTCGTCCGCCCCGTCTCCTGCCGACCGCGGCAGTCTCCAGGACCTGCTCGCGGGCAACGCCACGGCCCGCAATGGCGTCGGTACGCAATACGACCGACACGAGTCGTTTGTGTACGTCCGTTCCTTGGGTCTCGATGTCGGCTTACGAGTACTTTTGCTTCTTATTGGGCAGAATACGTCGTGTCGCGCGTGGACGACCTGGTGAACTGGGGACGCAAGAGCTCGCTGTGGCCCATGACCTTTGGTCTGGCATGCTGTGCGGTGGAAATGATGCATTCTGGTACGTTTGTTTCACTCGTGTCCCAACCGTGTGCCACTGGTTTGCACCCGGGTTTTGGCACTTGACGTGGGCGCTGACTTGACACCGTCGACTTGTAGCTGGCTCTCGCTATGACTTTGAGCGCATGGGAATGGTCTTCCGGGCGTCGCCCCGCCAGACGGACGTGATGATTGTGGCGGGCACGCTGACCAACAAGATGGCGCCTGCGCTTCGACGCGTGTACGACCAGATGCCGGAGCCACGCTACGTCGTGTCGATGGGCAGCTGTGCCAACGGTGGTGGCTACTACCACTACTCGTACGCTGTCGTCCGTGGCGTAGACCGCATTGTTCCCGTGGACATTTACGTGCCGGGCTGCCCGCCAACGGCCGAGGCGCTGCTGTTTGGTCTCATGCAGCTACAGAAGAAGGTCAAGGGCAACAAGTCGTTGCTGCTAAAGCTGCGAAAGTAGAGCGGTTTGACGTGGGTTGTGGTTGGCAGACTTGCTGGTGACGGGAGTTGACCACACAGCGTTTTGGAGCTTTTCACTGAGGTCGAGCAACGACGCACGTGGTTGATGACTGACTTTCGACAAGCACACACGATGTACGAAGCAATCGGAGAAGATGGCAAACCTAGTGGCATCGCGTGTCGATAATGATGCAATTGATTGCGCGGGCGCGCACGACACTTGTGCTGGCCCGAACTTCTCTTACCAATGCCTTGAAACACCCGGGTAGACCAATACGGCGTTTGTCGGCCCTTGTGACTTGTTGGTCTGCAACTTGGCGACGGCCATTGACTGTTTGGGAAGAAGATGTGATCAAAGGTCTTCGATGACATGTCGGTGCAGATGTACCCAACTCCTTTTCTATTGAAAACTTTGCACCGAAAGCACAGACTCAATGTGTGTGGTATCGCCGTACCCACGAGCTCCTGCAACTTACACCTTGACACATGCCAAGCAGACCTAAGAGAACGTCCGTCGTAGACGTGACGGTGTGTAATAGTAGAAAGGCTGCGATGGGGACTGACGCAAACACGATTGTAAAGTGGGGGATGCAATAAAAGCGTTCCGTTTACCCGTTTCTCGGGAACGAAAAACTTTGCGACGGAAAGCGTCCGCGTAAATGATTGCCAGCCCGAAGGAAAAACGTAGTAGTGAGTGTGCGTGAAATGACAGCCGATGTCGTAGTTTCCCCTGTTTGTGTGTCTGTCTGTAAGTCACGCACACGCACGCACTTGACTGGCATCCAGCTATCGATCACGTGTGGCACAAACAAGCATATGCTGGACGTGTTGGAGCAGCAAACGGTTTGGCTTAACAGCATCACCCCACCAGCGATAGAATTATCGTCTCCACGAACAGCAGCTCACCACTTGCTGCCAAACAGTGGAGCTGCACCGATGCATCAGCCTTGTCATGCATAACGCTCTGTTCAGATGAAGCGATTGGTAACAGCTAACCTGATGAAGTTATCGCAACCCTCTTGTTCGGCGGTCCAACTGCCCTCCTCATCCATCATTTCCATGTCGTCGGTCACATTTTGTATGTGTCGGTGCTGTTATTGCCGCACAACAAAGATCAACGGCTCCGTCTAGTTTTTCTCATTCTTCGCTCCAGCACATCAGCAACGCAAAGGAGTCGTTTCGTTACAAACATACAACGGCACCACTGTCGATGACACACCCTTGAAATGGACAACCGGTGATACAGCCGTTCATTCTGCGAAATGAAAACGTGAAAATACATTGCACGATTCACGATCTATGGGCGAGATTACGTATGTGAATTGACGAGCTACGAGATTTATTGTAACTAGACTATGGGGTGCTCAGACTGCTTGGCATCTCGTCAGTGCTCGTGTCTTTTGCTCTACGTCACATGCTTGGTATGTTCATCTGTTGTTTGCTCTTTCCCACAATACACCAAGTAAGCCGAACATGAGGGTCGTGTGTGATTGATAATTACTACTACATCGAGTCGTTCCGGCAAGAGCTGTTTCACGCATCTGTGCGACAAAACCAATAAGCTTATTGCTAGAATAGATGGGGTTGTGTATCCGCCTGTACTTTGCAACACTTACCTGTGATAAGTATCGGCTTCGTACGTCACTGACACACTCAGGACTAACTTGCTTCTTTACACCATTTAACGTAAATAGGCACATGCATCGCTCGGTGCAAGTTGGGCACGTGCAGGAAAAGAATATGTGGAATTCAAGGCATGTTTGGTCCAAACAGCTTGTGTTTGACCTCTTTGCAAACAAACAAACGAGCGGAAGGGAATTGGTCGATTGGACGTGCTTGATCGCACGTGCAAGACGTCTTGGGACTATGCGTCTTCCATTCCATACGGTACATGCACTCCTTATTCAATGAGGCACAAACAGTGTTGCGATCGTATCAGCTGTGGAAGTAAAAAACGAAGCCATCGTGATAAGCCGCAAGATGGTAGCCTGGACATGGTGCACAAGCATATGTATTGTAACTATGTTGTCATGAGTGATAGACATTCTGATCGCAGCCAAATAGAGACGACATACCATTAAAGTGCCAGTGTCGCTCAAAGCCGTTTATATGTACGAGCTGAGTTTTTGGGCGGAGGATATTGCGCACAGGTTGTTGTTGACCTTTTTGTTGATCGCCAGCCCGTGAGCGTCACTAGCTCAGATGGCTTGCTATCACGAGACTGAACACCTTGCTCCTGTACCTTGACGGTATAGGTTCTTTCTATCGCATACTCGTCTATTTCTCACCATCGTCATACTGTACACGCCGAAGCCGTAAAAATTCTTTGTTTGGTCACTGTGCGGTCCCATTTGATCAGCGAAAATCAAGCGTTGCATCGATAAAACACTTTGGCAAATGTTTGGCGTCAAAACATCGTTTCAAAGCGGTACATGTCGACATATTTTGGCCATCAAAAGCCAAGCAACTTTTGCACTCATTTATGTGAAAGTAGGTATCTAATGCGAGATCAAACGACCCTACTTCCGATACGGATCATACACATAGGTGATGAGCAAGTTTATGACATACTGAAGACATGTTGATTCGAAATCTCGGCAGTCATGGGGATGCCAATGTCAAGTTCTTGGCTTCTGCGTCAAGCGTGTCTGCTCCTAATGAACACGCTATGCGTTTTTTGCACCATATTCGGGACAGCCGGTCGATCTGAAATAGTACAAAGTGGCGTGTTGCGACAGCTGCCCAGCTGGCCGCAACACCATCCTCAGTATCGTTGGCACCCCTAGGCGTCAGCTATATTTTGTTGACGCTGTCGTCCCTACAGTTTCGTGGCAGCAACCACGACATGTCAGCGGCCATCTAATGTAATAGGGGTAAAGGGCTACGGAATGGCAATCGAGACGGGCCGCATAGTCACAAATATGGGGACGACCAGCACTGGCTACGAGATTAGCTAACTCGAAACCTATGCGGTCCCTTCAAAGGTGATAGCTGACATGTCATTGCCAGCGTGTCAGGATATCAACGGAGCCTAGGCGCAAATCATGCGGAAACACCACGAAGCGCATGCGGGTAAGAGTACACGACTCAGTCACAAAATATAGGGGAAATGGATCCGCATCTAGGTGTTTCTAGTCGGGCAATATTCTGTGCTGCTTCCAGGATACATGACTAGCGACGCAGTAACAGCGTGGAAGCATTATTGGCTCAAAGAAAAGAACAAAGCTGATGCATCGAAAATTGTCGCACGTAACTCTTTTTTTACGCTGACTTATCCGAACTCCGCTATCTCGCCTACGAACCGCATCTGGACGTGTAATCACATGTTGTTACTCCCTTCATTCCTCTTTTATTCATTTTTATCGAGCCGTCTTTTTGCTATTGCGATCCAAACGGTGTCTCTTCGGCGTATAAAGCATGTAACAGATCGACGCATTCTGTAGCGGTGCTACAACAGCTCCTTGCTAGAGGAAGTCTGAAGCTTAACTAGCCGATCAATGCGTATCAGTTCAGCTCATAGAGTAACCGCTTCGAAAAAACGACTCAAGTGTCGACTATATCATAGAGCTTCTTGTTTGGTCTCAAGGGACGTGACGATTCATAGCATAAAGTTACACAAGGGGGCCCTAGAGCGTACGCCGAAAGAAAAGAAAGCTAGCAAACACTTCACGACCAAAAAAAGACCTTGCAGGGCATGTTGTTTAAAGTAATTATAGTGTCAACTAACGTTTATTCCATTCAATACGTGGTGATAAATACCGTCTACGTTCTTGAATGTAAGTGTTACTCTCTAGTAGAGCACAACCTTGAGCGTGTTTCTTAGGTGGCTGAAACGGCTCTACAACCGTACTTGATACATCCTGATTTTAATGAGTGGTACAACACAGGGTATACGTGCCCATTCCGTGGTTCTGCCACCAAAGTGTGACACCGTTACGGGGCTCGCCGGGCACCATTTGATGAAGTTGCTAGATCGTGTGCACTAAAATAAGTATGTGATACAAAGGCTCTCTTTTTGCTTGTATTGCTGCTGTACAAGGAGAAAGAATTCACATGTGCATGATATTCTGTAATCGCTGCCTTCCGACCTGAAATTTGTCGTAATCGACTATTGACGATGGTCTTGTTGGACCGAGCGTTCGACTTGTTCATCGGTATTCTTACCGTCCAGGTTTATGGATATTGAGTCCACACGTACAGAAAGAACTAGATCTGGACCCCACAAACTGTCCCTTGTCGTTTTTGTAGCCAGGACATGTCCATATTCTAGTGTTTTTATCATACTCGTTGTAATGCTTTTTTATGCTCGTCAAGGTGGAATTGTTCAGACGCTATTTTCTCATAATGGCATTCCTGGTCTTTTGTTCAATGATGTACGCATAAAGCAGCCGTGACGGTGGTGCGAATACTGTAGTATCGGCTACTTTGCGACTCGTATTTGAATCTGAAAAGAATCCTCCGTGTCTGAGAATACAAGACAACGGTCGGCAAAAATACGACATAAGCGCTCGGTGGCAACTTGCCTGTTTACAGGCATGCGTGCAATATTGGGTGCAAACCGCTCAAGCACTATCATCTGTCCATTTGCTTCGTGGCAGGGCCGATGAGAGCTGCCGACGAAAGTAAAAGAAACAGTTCTAGTCAAGCTTGCTGCAGTGTGTATAATTATGCAAGCCCGTTACATGCCACTGGCAACATGTGCAATGAATGCGCTTGCGCGTATGCTTGTATGCTGAAGATGGGTATGAAAGTGGCAGACGCGATTGGATAAGAAATTTGGGGCTCGTTCATACACTCTACCGCAGTCGACAAAGAGATTACACAAATTTGCGTTGTGAGGACAAAAATAATGGTCGCGACGAGCTCAAACGACATGGACAAAACATGTGTCACTCACTATCTGCCAAATTACAGAACCATGCGTAAAGAGAGCCGCTTGATTGTGGCAAGCGTGCTGTAGATATGATCTTGTACGACTTGTGTATATGTCGATAATTTCATTCGGTACCAAAGACTTTGCGTCGTCATGAGTGCACGGACGAAGCGCAAGAACCTGCAGAAGCGCAAGAAGCGGCGACTGTTTGCTACTATTGCAGCCGAGATAAAGGCTAATGTACGCTTCGCATAATTGTAGCGGGATAGCCTACCGACCAATGCATTCTGATTCGCACCTTTGAGTCCCTTTAGGAAGAGGCCCAGTGGACGTTGGACAAAGAGGAACTGGACCTGATGAGGAACGAGGAAGAGCGGCAACGAACGCATGAGCAATGGAAAAAGGCGGTCGAGAAAACCATGGCTACTGCAATTGCGCGCCAAAGGATTCTGGAGCAACGGCAGGAGTTGATCTTGTCTCTACGACTGGTATGTACTGAAAAGAACTGCGGTTGTTGCGGTGTCGTTGGTGACGCCATCCTCTATTTGCTCAACAGCAACTGCAGCAGACGTCCGAACGATAGTTGGCAAGCATGTCGTGCACTTTTTGATACTCTGTATGGTCAGGCGTTCAGCTGAAGTCGAAGATGTGTACCTGTCTTTCACCTGTCGACTTCGTATCTACATGTTTGCTGTCAAAGTAAACTGCGGACATTTACTGACTTGAGGGTGTAGTTGCCAAGACAAGCAACTCGATCAAAGCCTTTCGTGCTCATCATTTGTAAGCATACGTATCGCCAAGTCACTTGACACGTTCTCTTGCAGCGCAGCTGATGGTGTACAAACGAACTCAACGATAAAGCAATGGTCAATTTAGCGACACTTTCGAGGTCGTGACTTATGCGTCTACAACGTCGCAAACTTATCTCAAAGTCGATTCGGCCTAATGCTCGAACAGTTGGCCTGCTCTGCAAGTGGGGCTCTTCTGTACAACATAAGCTCATTTACACAACACAGACTCCATCAAGTACGACGACACCCTTCGTTTCGACTCCTCCGTCGACATGGAACACCAAACGCTGCTGAAAAATCCTGATCGTCCATGCTACCGCTCGGTAACTCGTCAATTTCTCGCTCGATTTGGCTTCAAGTATGTTAGCTTCCCGGTCTATCGTCTCCCGCCGTCATTAACAGCAAAGCATTTTTGCCGAGTGCAGACAAACTCGCCTTTGTAATTACCATCGCTGCTGCTTGATGTCGAGGTGGCATTCGTATCAATCCCGTTCTCCATGCCAATAATGACCCAATGGACTCGTAGCCAGGTGCCTCGGCATCGTTGCCACCTAAGCTGTTCGTACAACCACGTTCTTCGGATGGCAACGAATGTCTGGCATTGTCGTCATTGCCAGTACGTCATTTCCTCATCTGCTACTGAGCATCGAAAGACGCAGGAAAATTGGGCTGAAAATTATCCAGAGCATAGCAGTCACTGCTCTGCCCCGACGTCGTTGATGCAGTCGTCAGGACATGCGCCTCCCTCGCCGCAATTTCGTGATCCTGTTTCCCATCCTGCTCTGTCGTCTGGGTACAATCGGAACTAATTACAGGCAGCACATTGTCAGTGCTGCTTGGCGCAGAAGACTCATTCGGTGCCGTGATACACAAGCCCATGCTACTGATGCTGCCATCTCGAGCGCTGGTGCTGGAAAGCGAAGAGACCGATGTCCTACGCGTCACACTCAAGTCAGTTTCCGAAACGTTGTCCCCACTCCTCTGTGTCTCAATTGATGGCATAACCGACATGAAAGCCTGCTCATCATGAACGCTGAGAGAAGTGGATATGTTGACCCCTACAGTGACAAGATCTTCTGCAATATCTTCCGCAGCAAATGATGCGACGCTACCACCAGTAACAAAGTGGTCGACAGTCTCGGCACCAGACGTCGACGTCACAGAGCTCATGTCGCTCAATCCCTTTTGACCAAACCGGTGCGCATCGCCATCATCCTCATTCAACGACGGAGAGCGCTCATACGACCCCACATTGTCGAGAACAACTCCATCCTCACGGCTAGTATATGCATGCACGTGCCGCGACAAAGCTGATGTTTCGGTACGCTCTTTCTTCAGTGATCTTGGCGTGCACTCAGGTAGAGGCAACGCGCCTTCAGCATTACCAGCAGCAGTGCTGGAGGCATCGACAGCAGTGTTCGAAGCTGCAGCCATACCATCGCTGAGCTCAGGTGACGAGCTGCTTGGCCCACAAAAAGTCGTAGTGGCCTGTCCGTCAGATTGGTGGCGCTGACCAGCATCCAGATAGTTCATATCGCCGCCGCTCGTATCAGAAACCACTGCATTTTCTGCACCCATTAGCCGCCGTTCGCGGCTGACCAAACCGTCATCGTTCGCTTCATCGCGGAGTCCACGCACGCGCTGTTTCTCGCCAGCAATCTGCACCCCGCTATGTTTTGGTGAAACGTGTACACCAAGCACCTCACCATTAGTCCTATCGTCCGCTTTTAAACGTCCCAGCTGGTACCCATGATCAATGCAGGTATCCTTGACAGCCTCCGTATTCGTTTGCAATTTTTTTTTCGCTGCTCCTTCCTTCCTAGCTACTGCTGCTGATGACTGGTCCACCAATGACCAACTTGCCGACGATGCTGCAATAGATGGGCGCTCTAGCGTCGTACGAGTCATTCCGTGAGCAGACGGGGACGGAGGTGGCAACGCCAACGTTTCTGAATATTCTTGTGCCTTTGTCTCCTCAGCATTGTCGTCGAGCAACCTATGAGGCGGCGCAGGTATCGATACAGGTGTACAATCGACGCTGGTTTGACCTTCTTCTTCGTCGTCCGAGGCACCCATCGACGTATCCGAATCTTCGTCAGTGTCGTGGGTGCACGCTACATTCATGCGGTTCCCATGCGATGCACTGGTCCTCGATCCGACAACTACCTTCGGCTTCACATTCCCTGCAACATGCATCTGATACTGCTCGCCACGCAGTTTCTGTTGTTCAGGAATTGACGGAACCGTGGCAAGGTGTGATGTACCCTCGTACGTGTCAATATCGATTGAGATGGCAGAAGAATCCGAGCTCGTGGACTCACGACGGCGTTCAGCTTTGCGTTCGCGCAGACGTAAAAGTTCGTTATCGTCACGCTGATGTGTCGTTGGAGGCCTTGCGGCTGGGCTCAAGCTAGTAAGCTCAATCGAAACCGATGGTTCGGTTATACGAAGCGCATCCACGTCCAGCAAGGGAGGTCCAGCCACGACGTCCAACGTAGAATCGAACGGACCGAAAACGGGGGGAGCAACCGATTCGTCGTCTAGTGTCGCGCGATACGAGCCAAAGTCGCTCAGCGGAGCCTGGTAAATAGGTGTTGGCACGTCAAACTCGTGCTTGTCGCGGCTTGCTTGCTGAAGTGCAGACATGTAGGCATCAGGCATGCGATGGTCGGTGTTCGATCGAGCCATGTTGTCCTCGCGCTGTAATCGCTCCAGTCGTTCGCGGCTGCTCAACTCTTGGAGCCGACTGAAATTTCGTGTATTGTTGCTGCTCATCTCCACCAACAGATCACTGCTGCTGCCGCTTGTGAACCCATGAAGTGGGCTGTGCCGAGCATCGGTAGCTGAATGATCGAAAACCGAGGTAAAGGATGGGGCTGCAACTGATCCCGGCATATCCATCGTATACCGATCTTCGCCTCTGGTGATGGGGTCATCTAGCGACAAGCTCTGGCTCGGTCGGAAGTCGGACGGACGCATGCGCTGACTTTCGGGATGGTTGTGCGACCGACCGTACTCACGCTGCTGTTGGTGACGATGCTGGGATCTCGAATACAGCTCCATATCCGGTTCACCTCGCATCATGTGCCGGGACGCCGAGTGCGGTACGTCTGACCGGAATCCAGACATGTGTAACGTACTTGACAGGCGCTGACGCGAAGGCTTTTCATGGCGCATGGATTGCAGGAAAATCTTCGGCGGTTCTCCTTCCCGGCCATTGTAGCGCCCACCGCTCCGCGACGCCAAGTGCCGATCAGCATCATCGACACCCAAGAAGCTCATCGAGATTGTCGACGAGTGAGCCGGTTGCACCAATGCTGACGTCGGCTTTGGAGCGTTGGTAATCACCTGGAAACAGTGCATGCAGATGCGCAGTTTGCGCACTTCGTCTCCTCCATTGGATGCTGCAAAGCTGCAGTTTTCAATCGGGAACTCCTTACTGCACGCTGCACAAACGACGTCACCGCACTTCCGGCAGTTGAGCTTCCGGAGCAACAAGAGCGAGAACGAGTCTTTGCACACGGCACATTTGCTCCGGTACTTTTTCGGCACGAGCTCCAAGTCGCTTCGATAGCGCTGTTCGTTCAGTCGTTTGCTGCGGAGCATGTTGCGCACTTGCGTGACAAAGAGCACGCGCGTCCGCAGGACGCTCAGCGGCACGGGCGTGCGCTCTTTCAAGTTGAGCTGCACCAAGTGAATCACATCGACGTGCCCAGGGCGCTCTTCGCTCTCGACGACGACAAAGCCCGAGTGGTAGAGGCTCCCACGCACGAGGCCAAACTCGCGCTTGAGGTCGTCGCAGCCCGGGAGTTTGATCGAGTGCTGCCCCAAGACCCATCCTTTGCGGCCCCTGGCGTCGACAAACTTGTCTTGGCACTCGAGGAAGCAAAAGTCCCGATGCGGGAGCCCGGGTGGCATCTGGGCGACCATCCACTTGGCCGTCACTTGGTGCAGCGGCTTGTCGCTCGTCCGGGCCGCCATCACGTGCAGCACAACGCCGTCGTAGAACCACTCGCGGTGGGCGCGGGCAAACTCCTTCATCTGCCGCGTCGAGCCCAACTCGAAGAGCGACGCCACTTCGGCGACGGTCCCCGGGACGCTCGTGACGCCGCACATGCTGCCCGCGGTGGCGGCCGCGCCCCCGGCCGCCGCTGTCGTTGCCGTTGTCGCGCGGGGCGAACCCGCGTAGATCTGCACGTCGTTGTGCTTCTCCACGTGGCGCCAGGCGATGGGGCCCCCGGCGCTCCGCGCGCGCTCCACGAGCTCTTGCGCTGCTTCGCACGACTTGCGCACGAGGTACGCCCGTTCTCGGGCCGAGAGCGGCGGCGGGTGGAAGTGGTTGTCGCGGAGCGGCGTCCACGTGCGGGCGGAGGCGGAGGCGGCGGCGTAGGACGCGAGGGGCGACGACGAGGACGACGAGGTGAGACTGGACGCGGACGCCGAGGGGGCCGTCGTCGGGGCGCGGGACGACGAGAGGCCTCGACGGGCGGCCATGAGCGAGTCGAAGCGGGACGTGAGAGGCGACGGCGGGCGGTTTCCAGACTGCTAATGGGGCGGACAGACAGACAGACAGACAGACAGACAGACAGACAGACAGACAGACAGACAGACAGACAGACAGACAGACAGACAGACAGACAGACAGACAGACAGACAGACAGACAGACAGACAGACGGACAGAGAGAGAGAGAGAGAGAGAAAGAGAGAGAGACAGCTGGGGGACGACAATTGCACGACGTGTCGTGTCGTTCGTGACGCTTTGTGAGTAACGGTCGAAGGGGGGAGGGACGAAAACGCGGTAAGAGAGTGAGTGAGTGGGTATTGCTGGACTCACCGACGAGCTCAATGAGAGTAGAGGTTTGTTGGCCTGTGCGGTACTGTGCTTTGGTCGGCGGTGGTGTCGGCCAAGTTGGTGGTTTGTCACTTGCCGAGTGCCGTGTTGTGTCGGTAGGAGGTGGAAAGCGGTGAGGTCGTCGCGTATTGATGGCGTGGACGGTGTGTGAAGCGACAGCCGATCGCTTTGTGCGTGAGCGAGCGAGTGGGGTGGGGTGGGGACGACGGTGGTGGTGTCATATTACGCGCTGGGAGTTGTGGTTGACGGAGCGACACTGACGGCAAGACGCTGCTGCGCGGCCGCTGGACTGTAGAGCGAACGCGTGGGTCACGCTCTCTGTCGTGTGTCTTGCAGCAGACGAAAGGCGTCTGCAATGCCTCACGCTTGAGACCCTCTCGCTTGTCTTGCGTTGCAACACGCTTGCGGTGGGACACGACTTTTTCGTGTCACTTGACTTACATGTGGCGACGGTGGAAGAGTAAAAACCCATTGCACATCGACAGTTTGTAGTTTGCTTTAGGGGTCGTAGCGGCGTTGTCAAGTTCCTGTCGTCAACGCCGTGCGGACCACGCGCGTGTCACTCCATCTCTCTCTGTTCCCTTCTCTCTTCTCCTGCAGCTCCGGCTGACTCGGTCGTCGTCATTGTTCGTTTGCTCTCGAAGTGCGCTTGCTCGTCAGGGTCGGACTACACGCGTTGAAGCTGTCGCACGCCCCTGTACTTCATTAGGCGCAATACACGATAGTCGCACTAGACAACTGCGTCTTGGCCCCTTGGCTCGTGAACCCTCTCATCATTGGAATTTTCTTTGCAACTGCGGTATGCATATCGTCTACAGTTGCTGATCAAACACATGTGAAGCGATATTATTCACCACCGCTTCGTGGTCGTGGATAAGTATGTTCACATACAGACGAGATCACCTTCCGTGTGTACATACGTAGCGTGCCACCCTTTCACCATCTCGACATAGAATCAAGCAAGTGTCGTTAGCTGACGATCATGGCACGCCTTCGGCTCTGTGCAAGTACAACTCCCACTCGGCATGTCGCTGAGCTGAGAGAGAGAGAGAGAGAGAGAGAGAGAGAGAGAGAGAGAGAGGAGTAGACAGTCTATGTTACGCGATAAGGTGTACGAGACGCGTGAAATGTCCCAAGCCAGGGGTAAGTGTAACGGGGCAGCCCGTTACATGGAAGTGTCACTTTAAAGAAAGTGACAATCAGGAATATTAAGTTGAATATTCTTTGAACAATATCACCGATAATGGTGATATTGGTGAGGCGACCAAAGGGTCTGCTCATTGGTTGGTATCTTAATGATATCAACCCACCAATCGCCGCAGGACGCGCGCAATGAGTGGTGACGAGACGTCACCATACACTCAGTTATATTAACATACTTAAGTTTAGTCAAACAGAGAGAGAGTAACAAAAAGACTTAATTATATTAATGCAACAGTTTTACTTTTTCCTTTATCTACGCTTCCTCGTTTGCCTCGTGTACGCTTGTCGGGGCACGATACCCTTGCGTTAAGTTCACGCAAGGGTGTGCCCCGTTACACCTGGTAGCACTTTCTAGTCCTTCCAAGGACCACAGCATCCAACATGAACATGTTGGATGATGAAGAAACCTTTCACGCCACGCGTGAAGGGTTTAACCATTTGAGTGACATCGAATGGGGTGCGGTAGAACGAATGAGTTCTACCGTAGGCGAACTCGTCGTCAGCACCATGTTGAAGTCTCTAGACAGAGACCAACAACATGCCGCTATAGCCAAGTTCATTCAGAATGAACTTGCTCTCGAGAGGGAGAAAGTAGCCTTGCTTCACCAGCAAGGCTCTCAACAGGCCGAGCAGTTGAGAGAACTCGGTGCTCAACAGACGGAGCTGTTGAGACAGCAGCAATTCCATGCTGCTGTGGGCGGGACGGCGCATGCGCGTCGTCCCGAAGTCATGAAGGTCGACATCTCCAAGTACAGTGGAGTCCCGGAAGACTCCCTGTTACTATGGTTTGTCGAACTCGACAGAGCCCTAAGGGCTCGTCGCGTCGAAGATGAGCAAATGAAACTCACATTTGCTCAAACCCAATTATCAGGACGTGCCAAAACTTGGTCCCTGGGCCTCGAGAGTAGCGACTTAAATGTGTTTAGGTCGCTAGATGACTTCAAGGCCCGGCTCAGACAAACGTTTGAGCCGCCACGCGCTGAGTTCAGAGCTCGTTCAGAGATACTGAAAATCAAGCAGGGTAAGCGTGATGTTCACGCTTGCGCTCAACATATACGACTCCTCGCGAGTAGTATAACTGCTAACTCAGTTCATGAACACACGTTGATTACGGTGTTCATGCAAGGGCTCGCAGAAGGGCCCGTCAGGAGCCACCTGTTCCGCCTTGAGCTGAATACGCTGGAAGATGCGATATCAGCCGCGTAACAGGAAGTCTTTAGCATGAGACAGGCTCATGCTAGCTCAAACTCTTATCGTCCACCGAGACGACAAGAGATCGTAGGTCCAGAACCAATGGACCTCTGCTATGTTGAGAGCGAGAGACCTCGCTCTACAAACAACAAGCGAATGCTGAAATGCAATCGCTGTCAGAAGTTAGGGCACTACGCATACGAGTGTAGAGATCCACTCCCAGTACCAAACAGTACTGAGCGAAATAGTCGTTCATTTGCCAGAAAGGGCAATGGGCGTGGGTCCAGCGCTGTTGCGAAACCGCAACAGCGAGACGGACCATCAAAAAATGGTCGGGGTCAGTAGGGGCGGAGCGCCCTACTGATCCAGCAACCTCAAGAGAATTTGCAAACCTCTTGACGAAAGTTGTTCCAGATACACAATCATTATGTGTCTATGCACCTGGTGATGACGTTTCGCTCATCACCTTGAAGTTGGAAGCGACAAATGATTTGTCGCTTCGTGCCCTAGTAGACTGTGGGGCATCGAACAACTTTGTTCGACGCCAGTCACTAGAGGGTCGTAGGTTCAAGTTCGTTGAGCGCGACATTGCCCTCACAAGGAGGACGGTGCGCCTTGCAACAGACGCATCGATAACCGTTGAGAAACGTGTAGTAGGAATCCACTACACGTTAGAGGGCGAACAGTACGATGATGACTTCATCGTACTGGATCTGGATGACAAATTTGATGTCATCCTGGGATCACCTTGGATCAGAAAGTACGAGCCAAGGGTGAGCTGGCAGCATCGATCTGTGAAGATGCCTGCCACTTGTTCATCAGATGGCCATCTGATGAACGTCATGAAGCGTCCACAAGCGTGTGGATGTACTGCGAGTGCGATGGCCTCACTTGCGGTACGGTCGTTAGCACGACTGCACAAGATCATAGTGTAGTTCATCACTACACTGTGGAGCAAGCTCCCGGCGGCTGTACAGAAGTTCAGGCGGCGCCGAAGGTCCACCACTCGAAGAAGTCGAGTGGACCGGAATATGGATGCATGCCTAGCGGGCAGCATCTTAGACAAAAGAAACCTGTTGCCTTCCAATGACAACATGGACATCCTAGGTCGACTGGAGAGTCGACCGTAGATGATCGGTACCTGACTGTGGTTGCACAGCCACATCCAGAAGACGTCGAGGGAATAGGTCCCCACGTACTTGAAGAAGGAATTTCTCAAGAGTCACTTGCTGAAGGATTAGATCTTCGGCAACCTGTGGAACGAAGTTCCCAGGAAGTACCCGATACGTTGAACGTCTTGGTTAATGACGGATCAAGCGTATGCGCTTATACGCTTGATCTGATTGTGCCTCCGGAGTTAACTTCGGAGGTAACTCAGTTGCCAACGCTAGAAACGAAACGGTTCTTGCGTGATCTGCGTAGTGGCAAAGTCAAGCAGTTCTGCATACTCGTCACAGAGGATGAGTATGTGGCCGATATTCGGTCGGCCACAGTATTTGCTGAGAACGAACGGGTTCTCAGCAGCTCATCGATGGACGAAAGTGTCCTCGATGATAGGACTCGGATTGAGCGATACACGTCTCAATCCTGGGATTCACTTCAGGAAAATCCTTTGTATAAGGATTTGATCGAAATCAAGGATGTATTCCCTGAATCCGTACCTTGCGAGTTGCCTGAAGAAAAAGGCACTCGACACGAAATAGAGCTTAAACCGGGCTCGAAGTACTGTGTCATGAAGCAGTGGCCACTGCCTCGTGAACAAGTACTAGCGATCGACAAGTTCTTTGCCGATCTCTTAGCAGCGGGCCATGTAAGGGAATCAACATCACCTCACAGCTCTTCTACCTTCTGTGTGCGAAAGGAAACAGGAGGATGGCGGATAGTGCACGCATTCGACAAGTTGAATGCTGCAACGGTACCGGCTCAGACGCCGATACCAAGAAAGGACGTAATCATAGATGGTATGTCAAAGAGTACCATCTTTTCGTCCACGGATCTGATGGATGGATTCTATCAGATCCTCATGCGTGAACGGGATGTTCCGTACACAGCAGTGAGCACTCCCAGCGGCATGTTTTGGGAGTGGCTAGTGATGCCACAGGGGCTGAGTAATGACCCTGAAACATTCAACAGATGTGTTACAAATCTGCTGAGACCGGTGCGAGACTTCGCACCGAGTTATTTCGATGATGTGTTCGTCCATAGTCGGGCTATGGACGGAAGGACGGACGGTGAAGTCCACCGAAC